CCTGAGCGTGGGGTGGGGGGTCCTCCCTGAGCGTGGGGTGGGGGTTGGGTGGGGTGAGGGGTCCTCCCTGAGCGTGGGGTGGGGGGTCCTCCCTGAGCGTGGGGTGGGGGTTGGGTGGGGTGAGGGGTCCTCCCTGAGCGTGGGGTGGGGGGTCCTCCCTGAGCGTGGGATGGGGGTCGGGAGGGGTGAGGGGGTCCTCCCTGAGTGTGGGATGGGTCCCCCTTGCTGCATCTTGCTCATCTCTACCCCCAGGGGCAGCTTCTGGGGCCCGTGGCCTCTCGGCCCCGGCGTAGGCCGCTGCTCCTCTGTCCACCACTGCCCATGGTGCTGACCACGCTGCGTAACCAGGCCAGGGCGGCCCTCTTGAACTCAAGCCCACAAAGACGGGGAGGGCAGGATTTGGGGGGCAGATGACACCCCATTTCCTAACCTGTCCCCCGCCCAGGCTGCACTGTCTGGCTAAACAAATATAGTGTTCCCCAACTCTCTTTAAGACTGTCCGTTGTAGGAGCTGGGAACGTGGCTCAGTGGTAGAGCACTTGCCTTGCATGCATGAGGCCCTAGGTTCGATTCCTCAGCACCACATAAGAAAAAAGAAAAAAGTTGGAAGTGGCACTGTGGCTCAAGTGGTAGAGTGTTCGCCTTGAGCTGAAGAGCTGAGGGACAGCGCCCAGGCCCAGAGTTCAAGCCCACGACCCCCCCCCCCCCCCCCAAAAAAAAAAGAGCGTCCGTTGCACACAGTGTCTTGGCTTTTCCCAAAAGCAGGAGTTATTCCCAGGCTGTCAGATAGGGAGCAGAGCCAGGACTCAGCCTGCAGGCTGGAAGCTGCCTGCATCCCCTTCCCTGCCTGACGCTTCCCCAACGCGAGGGTCAGGGCTGGGAGGGGGGGGATGGCCAGGGGGGGGAGATGGACAGCGAGGGGGGGGGGGACTCACCGTTTTTATCTGCTCGGCGGAAAATCTGCGGAGAGAAGAGGGGAATCAGCCCAGAGCGGGGGCTGGCTGCCGCCCTCAGCCAGTGGTCTCGGCTCTGACACCAAGCCCCTCTTCTCCCCACGGGGTGGTCTGGATCTGGGGGGGGGGATTGGGGGTAGGGGGGGGTGCACTAACAGGCACACACACGCCCCACACACCCTACACACCCCACACGCCCATTGCGCTTGGCTGCACACAACCACACTCAAGCCAGCACCTCGTGCGCACACTCCCGGGCTGGGCTGCCTGGGGCTTCCCCGGGAGGCGGGTCCCACCCAAGGGGTTCCCTGCCGCCCGTGTTTGTCTGGGGAGGGAGGAGGCAGCCAGGCAAGGATGTGGCTCAGCTGGCTCGCTTCCCTCAGGCGGTGGCGGACACTTGCGCCCCCCCCCCGCCCCCCGCCCCCTGCCCCGGGCCCATCAAGTCACAGCTACCTTGGAATCAGATCCCAGGAGGCTGATGCCAGCACCAGGACAATGGAGTCTGGAAGGAATCCTGGGTTTGGGGCAGCCCCACCCCTGGGAAACTGAGGCAGGGCTGGGTGTTGCTCACAGGCTCAAGGGCTTGCATACTTCCCCAGATAGCAGGGAGGTGAGCTCCCTTCTGACTGAGTCCTCGGGCTGGCCCTGAACAGTGGTCCCCACAAGAACAGCATCGGGGCCCTTCCAGCCCCTGGACTGAGCGGAACCACGGCGGCCGGGGACACCCAGGCCTGAGGGTAGACAAACGCTAGCCAGGGCCACAGCTCCAGCGCCCTCTCCCTCAGCCGCTCCCCAGAGCCAGTGGAGGTCCCTGCCCACCCACCAGCGAGGGGCCAGGGCTTCACACCCGGCGGCGGCCGCCACGCGGGCCTCCACCAGTGTGGAGTGCGCTGTGTGTGCACTGTCTGTGTGTGCCGCGTGTGTGCTGTGTGTGCAGTCTCCCTGTGTGCAGGCTGTGTGTGCACTGTCCTGTGTGTGTGCTGTGTGTGCACTGTCCTGTGTGTGTGCTGTGTGTGCACTGCCATGTGTGCACTGTCCTGTGTGTGCACTGTCCTGTGTGTGCACTGCCCTGTGTGTGCGCACCATGTACCTGCTGTGTATCCTGCTGTGTGTGCCCTGTGTGTGCACTTTTCCTGTGTGTGTGCTGTGTCCTGTTGTGTGTGACCTGTGTGTACTGTCTCGTATGCACTGTGTACTGGATGTGCGCTGTGCCCCCCGAGTGTGCACCGTGCCCATGTGTGCACCGTCCCCGTGTGTGCACCGTCCCCGTGTGTGCACCGTCCCCGAGTGTGCACCGTCCCCGTGTGTGCACCGTCCCCGTGTGTGCACCGTCCCCGAGTGTGCCCCGTCCCCGTGTGTGCACCGTCCCCGAGTGTGCACCGTCCCCGAGTGTGCACCGTCCCCGTGTGTGCACCGTCCCCGAGTGTGCACCGTCCCCGAGTGTGCACCGTCCCCGTGTGTGCACCGTCCCCGAGTGTGCACCGTCCCCGAGTGTGCACCGTCCCCGTGTGTGCACCGTCCCCGAGTGTGCACCGTCCCCGAGTGTGCACCGTCCCCGTGTGTGCACCGTCCCCGTGTGTGCACCGTCCCCGAGTGTGCACCGTCCCCGAGTGTGCACCGTGCCCATGTGTGCACTGTCCCCGTGTGTGCACTGTCCCCGAGTGTGCACCGTGCCCATGTGTGCACTGTCCTCGAGTGTGCACTGTCCTCGAGTGTGCACTGTCCCCGTGTGTGCACTGTGCCCATGTGTGCTCCGTGCCCATGTGTGCTCCGTGCCCATGTGTGCTCCGTGCCCATGTGTGCGCTGTCTCTGTGCTGTCCCCCATGTGTGTGCCATGTCCCCTGTGTGCTGTGTGTGCACTGTGCCCCTCTGTGAGTGTGCTGTGTGCTGTCCATCCGTGTGTGCGCCGTGCCCCCGTGTGTGTGCGCGCGCGCGCGTGTGCAGCCCCGCAGGCGTGGGTGTGCCCCGGCTCTGCAGGTGCGCGCCCCTGCAGTCGGGGCAGGAGGGAGAGGAGTAGGGGAAGGAGGAGGAAGGGGAGGGGGAGGAGGAGGAGGGGAATCCCGGCCTTGCTGCGGGGAGCGCACCGCCCTCCCCTGGGCCAGGGCTCGACCCGCAGCCCCCGCCCCAGAGCTGGGTGGGGCTCCCAGGTCTAGGATTGGGGTCCCGGCGGGACTCCCGGAGTCCCGCCAGCGGGGCGCGGGGGCCGGGGAATCCGGCCAGGGGTCGGCGGGGTCCCGGCTCGGTGCGGAGGAGTGGGGGCGGGAGGGGAGGAGCGAGCGGTCCTAGGGTGGGCGAAGAGGGAGGGCGCGGGGCGCGCGGCTGCGGGGCGCGGGGGTCTCTCCAAGTGCGCCGGGGAAGGGACCGGGAGGGGAGGGGGCGGCGTGGCCGGGGGCGGGAGGCCGGTCCCGGGGTCCGGGGCGGCGCGGGCGGGGTCCGTGGTCCCGGGATCCCTGGGCGGCGCGGGTCGGGGTCCGGGGGTCCGGGGAAGCGCGGGCCGGGGTCCGGGGCGGCGCGGGCGGGGTCCGGGGTCCCGGGATCCCGTGGTAGCGCGGGCCCGGGTCCGGGGGTGTCCGGGGTCCCGGGATCCCGGGGTAGCGCGGGCCCGGGTCCGGGGGGGTCCGGGGTCCCGGGATCCCGGGGTAGCGCGGGCCGGGGTCCGGGGGTCCGGGGAAGCGCGGGCCGGGGTCCCGGGGCGGCGCGGGCGGGGTCCGGGGTCCCGGGGTAGCGCGGGCCGGGGTCCGGGGGGATCTGGGGTCCCGGGGCGGCGCGGGCGGGGTCCGGGGTCCCGGGGCGGCGCGGGCGGGGTCCGGGGTCCCGGGGCGGCGCGGGCGGGGTCCGGGGTCCGGGGGGGGCGCGGGCGGGGTCCGGGGTCCCGGGGCGGCGCGGGCGGGGTCCGGGGTCGGGTCCCGGGCGCGTACTCACGTCCAGGATGACGGCGGTGCCCCCGCGCGGCGCGGCGGGCCCGGGGCCGGGGCCGGGGGCGGCGGGGCCGGCGGGCGGCGGCGGCGGCGCCCGGCTGTCGCCCATCCTGGCGCCCACCCAGCGCAGCAGCCCGCCCAGCGCGCGGCCCTGCGGCGGCGGCTCCCGGAGCAGCCGGTGCGCGCCGGCCCTGCACAGGCGCGCCGCCCGCTCGCACATCGCGCCGCCGCCGCCGCCCGGACGCCCGCCGACCCCCGCCGCCCGCGCTCCCGCCGCCCCCTCCCCGGCGCCGCCTCCCGCCTCGGCCCGCCCGCGGACACCGCGGGGACGGACCCCGAGCCACGTGCGCGCCCGCCCGCCGCGGGGCGCCGCCGCCCCCCCCCCCCCCCGGGACGCGGCCTGCGGACCCGGCCGGGCCGCGGGGGGGCGGGGCGGAGGGCGACTCCGCCCCCGGCCCGAGGACCCCCCCCCCCCGCCCTCCCCCGGCACCCGGCGAGCAGGGGCAGCGAGGAGGAGCACCCGCCGGGCTGGGCTCCGGGGAGGGGCCGCCCTGGGCCCCGGGCTCCCTGCCAAGAGGCGGAGCCAGGCCAGGGACGACCCCCAGGACGCGGAGAAACGGGGGGAGGCCGAGCCGAGGAGCGCGAGGAGCCGGCGGGGGAGGGGCCCTGGGCCAGACACCTGTGCCCGGCGCAAAGGCCCTGCGGCCGGCACGGGTGGGGGGCCGGGGATCGAGCGAGGGGAAGCTGGTGGAGTGGCCGGAGGGCCCCGAGCCCCCCTCCCCTGACCCCCCCCCCCAGCCCGCCTCCCCGCGCGCACACGCAGACCTCAGGCACCGGTGGAGACGAACACTGGCTTTATTGGGGCCTGTTCCTAGGAGCGGGCTCCAGGCCTCCCCATGGGCGTCCAGCTGGTCTGGTGACCCCCGCCCGTTCGGCCGCCTGGCCGCAGCCCCGCCGCCGCCGCCTCGCCCGCCTGGGGTCTCGATCGGCCGGGCGCGGCGCGGGGCGGGCGGCGCCCTTCTCCCGCCAGGAGCGGCCTCCCCGCAGGCGCCCCGCCGGCGCCCGCTCGCGCAGGCCGGCGCTCCTCCCCCGTCAGAGCCCGGGCGTCAGGACATGCGGCGGGCGGCGCGGGGCGCTAGGGCGGCTTGCGGGGCGCCTTCCTCAGCAGGGAGCTGGCCGCCGCCAGGGCCCCGCCCTGCACGAACCGCACGAAGTTGTCCCCGGCCAGGGGCCCGAGCGCGTACAGGCCCTCCTGCTGGGCGCTCTGGTAGGTGTAGGGGTCCACGTCGATGGGGTTCCTCTTGGCGCTCGGGGGCTGCGTGGGGTCCACGGTGAGGTCGGCGCCCGCCCCGGGGAGGAAGGAGAGGTCGGGGTGCGAGCCGATGAGGACCAGCACCAGGGAGGTGCTGAACACCTGCTGGCCGCCCCGCGGGTCCCGGAACACGGCCTGGCCGCCCTCCTTGAAGAGCAGCGGCCGGTGCTCGGGGAGGCTGCGGTAGCCCTGGTAGGGGCTGGGGGACAGGATGGACTGCTCGCGCATCATCTGGTGCACCTTGTGGTACTCGGGGTACAGCATCCTGGGCAGCTGGTTGAACACCAGGCCCGGGTCCTCCACGGGCCGGCGGAAGGCGTGGATCACCGGGATGTTGTAGTGGCGCGCGTAGAGCACCGCGTCGGCCGCCGACAGCCCCGCGCCCACGATGAGGATGGGGTCCGAGGCGGGGGTCACGGCGCCCGCCCGCACGGCCGCCTCCAGGGCCGACAGCTCGTGGTGGACGAAGGGCAGGGCCTCCCCGGGGATGGCCAGCCGGGCCGGGCTGTCGAAGGTGCCCGTGGCCAGCACCACGTTGTGGGCCCACAGCGCGAAGGGCCGCCGGGGCCGGTCCTCGGCCGCCAGGAAGCCGCTCACGCGGAAGAGGGGGCCGGGGGCGGCCGGGCTGCCCGGCTCGGGCCCCTCCCACTCCACCGCCGTGACCTCCGCGCCTGACACGAAGCGGGGGCCCAGGCCCTTCCTGGTCACGTAGTCCTGGTAGTAGTGCGCCATGTCCCCCGCCGTGGCCCGGCTGTTGCGAAGGCCCCTGGGGGAGGGCGGGGGGGGGGGGGGTCAGCAGGGCCCCCGGGGACCTGCGGGCCAGCCCCACAGAGCCTCCGTCCCCCCCACCCCACGTGTAATGAGTCCGCAGGACGGCTGGGGCGGCTCCTCCGCCGGGAACCCCCAACGCCCGTGCCTCAGTATCCCCACTTGTGAGTGGCCCGGCGGGCACCTCACCACCGACCACCACGCTATGAACCTCAGGGGTCAAAGGGGTCTGGGGAGGCCCTGGGTGTCCGAGACATGTGTCCTCAGCCACCAGCTCTGCTACCACTGTGTTTCCACGGGACAGTGAGCTGAGATCTCCCACTGGAGAGCTTCGGCGGGCCCGGGGTCGGCCCGGGGTCTGCTGTCCCCCTCGGGGCAGAGTCCCCGCCAGCCAGAGCATTCCGCGTTCCATTCCCGTGCTCCCCAGGGACCAGTATGAGGCCCAGTAAGAGAAGGGCTGCAAACGCCGCTGCCCACCTGCCCCTCCTGTGGGCCTGGGCCAGTCCTGTCCCTCCTCGAGCCTCAGTTTCCCCTTCTGCAGGGGGGAGGAGGAGTGGGCAGATGGGTCTGCAGGGCGGCCTCACCTGCGTTTCTTCAGGATCCAGTCCTTGACGTCCAGGTCCGGCAGCCCCATCCACTGGCCCTGGCTCAGGGTCACCATGGAGCCCTCGATGGACTGCGTGGAGAGGCGCTGTGAGGGCCAAGCCGGGCCGCGCCTCCCGCACCCCTTCCCAAGCCCGGGGAGCAGGGGGGTGGGAGTAGCGGGGGGACGGGGAGGGAGGAGAGGAGGGCGGAAGGTAGGGAGCAGGCTGACCCCTCCCTGCCCCACTCACATGCCAGGCCCCCCCGGGCGGGTTACGGCCCAGGACCAGGTGGGGGACCGCCCGCTCCTTCTGCAGTCTCCAGGTGAGGACGGAGTCTGCGTTGCCCCCGAAGTCCGTGTCTGGTCGCAGGAGGGCATCAAAAAGCAGGGCCACGGGGCTCTGGCTGCGGCCCTCAAGGCCTTCAGACAGGTACTCCAGGTCCTGGGGAGGTGGGAGGGTCAGTGGGGTCACTGCAGGGGGCAGAGTCCTGAACCGAGGGCCTGGGGGCGGGCCCTGGGGGTCATCCCTAGGGGGTCTGGGGGCGGGGCCTGGGGGCCATCCCTGGTGGAGGCCCTCCAGGAGCCCCCAGGGCCCCAGAGCACAGGCCCAGCAGACGGCTTCAAAGGGACTTGGGCACTCCCGGTCCTACTTTGTCCTTGTCCCCAGCTTGGGGGCAGAAGGGGGCGGGGAGGGATGCTGCCCAAGAGGCCGAGGTGAGGCGGGCGGCTGGACGGAGTCCTGGAACGTCCATCCCTGCGGGCAGCGGGGCCCCGCCTCCCTGGTCCTTGTGGGTGTGGGAAAACAACCCTGACTTCACTTCTCTCCCTGTCTGTACGCGGCCGTTGGGGGCCCCTGGGAACGAAAGCCCTGGGGGGCTTTTTGAGGGTGGGGTGCCTGCTTCCTTCTGCCCCACCTCCAGCCACACGGGACTGGTTACCTGGTCCAGGATGGAGACGCCCGGAGCCTCGGCGAGCTTCCTCTGCAGCAGGGGGTGCGGGTGGACGGCGTCGGGCCTGGCGTAGGGCGTGTGTCCCGAGAGCAGGTAGGACAGGCAGATGCCTGAGGGGCCGTTGCCTGAGGGGACAGGGAGGGTCAGGGGGAGCCGAGTGCGGGGGGCGCCTGGGCCGGAGGTGGGCCGGGCGTTCATCTCCACGCTTCGTACAGGAAAATAAAACATCGAAGCCTTTTCTGTGCCCAGCAGCGTGTGCAATAAGCAGCAGAGCAGAAGTGCCGAGTGCAGGGGCTGCGTGAGACCCCAACAGCACGGTGCGGGGGAGGGGAGGGGAGATGCTGTCCTTCCTCCCCATACGAAAGAGACACACCGTTCTTTTTCTCCGACTGAAGCGTAGGGGCACAGAGCAGGCAGGAACGGGCCTGCGGTCACTCAGCTGGCACCCAGCGCGCCGGGCCTGGCGTCCTGAGGCCTGCCTGGTCACGTGGGTGGGTAGCTGCTTCGGGGCTGCAGGGAGGGGCGTGGGGGGGGCGGGCGAGGCTGGGGTTTCTGAGCTGCCTCGGTGGCACCCTCATCTGGGCCATGCATGGGCCCCGCAGCCTTTTTCTAACCGCTCCCTTCTCGTCACACCCAGGACCTCAGCCACTTGTAGACTGGGGTAAGGAAAATCCCCAGCACCCTTTGGCTCCCGGTGGGAAGTGCCGATGCTTGCATTCTGCCAGTGGCTGAGCCCCACAGGAACCGAGGACCCCGCGTGGGTAGCACGGCCAAGTCCAGGGTGATGGTGGGGCCCGGAGCGGGTGGGAGCCGGGCCTGCTCCTGGGGATCCCTAGGTCCTGTGTCAGCCTCCTTCCTCGGGAGGACAGAATGGAACCGCTAAGCATGACGCCAGCCACACGGTCAGTGCCACACACGTGCCAAGGGGCCAGGCCTGGCTTTGCCCAGCGCTGACCTCAGGTGCCAGAGGGCACTCTCCCCCCCCCCCCCGACGTGGCACTCACCGATGATGATGACCGGGAGAGGTGCTGAGCTGCTGGTGCCCAGGTGAACCTTTCTCTGAGCGCTCATGGTAGGGCCTGGAAGCTGGCCTGGGGGTGGGGAGGGGGAAGAGGGGAGAATGGCCCCTGGGTGAGACCTGTAGCCCACCACCATGTGCCCCTTCCCATGTCCCCATCTCCCGTCCCTGTCCCTCATGCCCCACAGGCAGGCGGCCTCCCTTCCCTCCACCTGCAGCTCTGTCTTCACACCTCCACCTCTGTGGGGGACAACCACCCACACCTATCGTGTCTCCCCCAGGATGCCTGCTCGGCCCAGCCAGGAGCCAGGCCTCCGGCGGGATCAGCTGACAGGCTCTGGTCTGAGCCGCAGAAATGAGAGTTCCAGCTGGGAGGCTGTTGAGGGGCACGGGGTGTGTGTGGCATTTGAGGGCACTCATCCCCTGCACAGGCTGGGGCTAGAGCAGGAACTCAACCCCCCAGGGCAGCCTGGGGCTGCTTCGGGAGATGGCCAGGAAACCTGTGGTCGCTGGAGCACGCGCGACCCCTGCTGGCCACAGGGACAAATCACTCAAAGTGACCCAAACAGGCAGAGTGGCCTGTGCCCAGCGGCTTCAGGCCACTGTCCCCCATCTCCAGACACCAAGCCCAGCTGCTGCCTCACCCACCAGCCACGGACACAGCCCCAGGAGAGCACTGCACGTGCGGGGAGGGCCACAGCACTAGCGCGTGCCATGAGCGGGGCGCTGTGCCTGTTTTTCTCCTGAACCCGTACAGACACAGACAGCCTGATCCCCAGGGTTGGCCACGTGGAGGGTAGCTCTGCTTCAGTCACCACGCCACTGGACTGTCCCCTCCAGGGCTCACCCCACACACACACGTGAGGGGAGAGGGGTGGATGCGGGGGCCACAGTCTCCAGAACTTTCCAGAAGCCTCTAGAAGTGGGCCTTCCTACAAACCCTTCCCAAGTCCACAGAACCAGCTGGAGCCAGTTGTGGCCTCTGACGTATGCAGGGGACTCGGTGTCCACCAGCCGGCAGGTCTGGCCGTCGGGACAGGCAAGAGAGCCTGGGTGTTGCCCCCTGGTGGCCGGCACGATGACCGCGGGCAGTAGTCCCGAGGGGCAGGGGCTGCAGAAAGGAGTCCAGCCCCCCCCCCCCCCCCCCCCCCCCCCGTGCCCGCGGTCCAGAGGGCTTTGAACAGCTCTTCACAGCTTGCAAGGGCTTTGCCTTAGCAGTCTCCTGAGCCAGCTGGATCTGAGTCAGGCTGCCTTGTTCCAGAGCCTTCTATGCTCCTCCCCCCAAAGTAAAACAGGTCCTGTCAGGGATGCCGCAGCCGGGCTAAACGTGCAGCACATCGTGTGTGTGTGTGTGTGTGTGTGTGTGTGTGTGTGTGTGTGTGTGTGTGTGTGTGTGTGTGTGTGCGCGCGCGCGCAGACATGTACATGTATGTGCATGTACACACACGCTTTACTGCCCAGTCCAGGGCTGGCCGGAGGGGGGGAGACCGCAAGCACATGGTAGCCATGAGGTGCTAGCCGGAGGGAGGGTTTGTCACCAGCTCCAGACGCCGATGTCCCCAAGGCCTGGGTGGCCAGGGCTGAGCTGTCAGAGCGCCCTTGCCTGCCTACCGCAGGTCCCTGGACCAGCAGCCAGGGAGGGCCTGGCTTTGGTCTTTGTCCTGTGTCATTTCTATTTAACCCCTATGTCTCAGAGGAGGAAACTGAGGCTGGGGGGCGGGAAGACCGCACTCCAGTGGGGACCCCAGTGAGATGATACCTCCATGGTCTGAGCCTTCAGGCTCAAACCCCCATCAGATGAGTGTGCCGCCCTGGCCGCAGAGGCGGGTCGGGGCTGGTGGCTCGTCCCTGGGCAGGGCAGGGGACACGCCGCTTCCTGCCGGCGCTGTGCGCAGTCTGGTTCCTCCTGACCCCCGAGGGAACCCCCAGATGCCCGAACAGAAGCTTCTGGATGCCACACACGTGAGGTTAGGCCGGACCCCAGAGGACTCTTGTGAGCTTTCCTCCTTGGCCTTGGATGAACCCGCCACCCTGAAAGCCTGCGCGCCGCTCCCCCTCGCCCCCTCCTCGGCTGCTCCGCGTGGGGAAGCTGGGACCATCCACTGTGGCGCTGGCTTGAACGCCCCTCTGCTTGGCAGGCGTTGAGGGAAATGCTAACCTTACACGCTGCGGGCTCGCTGGCCACCACGCACACACCATGTGGCTGTTTATTGGGCTCTTCTGGTGGCCTTTTGCCCCTTTGACCTAAGACCCCCGGAACGCTGGGTTTTCTTGTCTCCGTGGGACAAAACCCCATCCACATGCACCATCCGGTCCAGCCCTGGGTCAAGGCGCAGGTCACCAGCCCTGACCGAGCACCTGAGGGCCTGGGGCATGAGGAAGTGCCACCTGCCATTACTCACCTGCGTGAACTCTTACCCAGCTGCCTGCTCTGGAGCCCAGGGCTCAGGCAGCTGCCCCGGCGGAGGCCCCACCCCTCTTCCCAGCATCCCTCTGGGGAGGAGCTGAATGAGGGACCCCCGTGGTGAGCAGGGAGGTGGTGCGGGGGGGGAAAGCACCTGACCCCGCCTCCTCTTTCCTGCCTGCAGCAGCTGGGGGCTGGCCGGTGCCGGCCGGGGGACCCAGATGTCCCTGGTGGGCCTGCGCTGGCCTCTGCGCAGGGACGGAGGGGGGACTGCTGCTGTCCGCCTTGGACGCCACGCCAGTCCTGCTGGCCGGGCCACGGTCCCCGCGCCCACAGCCCGGCCCAGACACTCACCTGTCGGGCAGTGGGTGGAGAGGGACAGGACCCGGGCTGGACGGGCACTTGCAGAGCCGGGGTCGGGGTACCTGCTGCGGGAGGAGGCGCAGGATGCCCCTCGGCGGCGTGGGATCCCAGAGGCCGGGAGAGGCCAGGAAGCTGGGGTATTTCAGGGAAGGCGGCGCGGCGGTGGGCGGGGCCAGGGAACTTTCATAAGCGTGAGTCAGCAGGGGCCCCTGGGTGAGTGAACTTGCCCCTGGGTCCTCTTAAAGGGCCCCTGCTGGACTACCGCCAGGGGGCACTGGCCCTCCTTCCAGCCCATCTCCCCGCCAGTCAGCCCCTACCCTGGGGCTGGGACCCTGAAGGAGGAACCAGTGACCCCAAAAGAGCCAGTCTGGCGCAGACCCTAAGGGACTCTAAGGGACTTGAGAGTCCCTTAGGAGTCAAGAGCTGGAAGTTGGGGGGGTCCTCGGCTGCCTCCTCCCACCACCCACTTCCAGCCTCTGGAGAGAACACCAACAGGCACCAACCCATGGCAGGAGATCCCAGCTCTTGGCTTCCTGGCTGGAAGCTCAGGACCTGCGTCTCCCCATCCAGACAACGGGGCTGGAGGGGGGTGAGGGTGGAGGGGGGGCACAGATGCCTGTTCCTCCTCCTCGGGCATGCTGGATCATGTTCTCATCCCTGCCCTCACGGGCATGGTTTGCATGGGGAGATGTGGGGGTGTCTGTTGAATTCTGGGACCAGAACCACACTGAGCACATAGTAGGTGCTCCATGTTTGCTGGACACGGGGAGGGGCCTCCAGTCCTTTGTACCATTCTCTGTGGTGGCCATGGTTATGCTGTCACCTGTGCCCAGGGGCCTGGGGGTGGCCGCCGGAGCCAGGGCTGGCTGGGAAGGCCAGATCTTCACTCTGAGAACAACTTTAGGAGAAATCCAGACACCCAATAATCAAGGAAATAACATTGTGACGCAATTTCCTAAAAACCAAAATAAATACCAATAAAACCAAACCCCAAGCTAAAGAAAATGTTAACATGGGTTGCCGCCCCCGCCCCCCGCCCCCCTCCCCCCCCCCCCCCCCCCCCCCCGGCCCCTGACATGCCAGGCCGGGCCATCTCTGAGCCAGTCCTAGGAGGAGAGGTCAGGACACGCGGCCCTGGCCTCCTGGCTTCAGCAAAGAGGTCAGGGCCCTCGAGTTCATGGACCAGATCTGCCTGCCCCCGCCCCACCCCCCCTCCCCGCTCCTGCCGCTCCCACCCCTGCAGGCCTCAGATCACAAGGGCACCGCGCTGGCTTCCGTTTGTTTTGCCTCCAAGCTTTGTTTGATTTCTTGTAAAGGCCTCAAAATTCTCCATCATTTGAGAATGAGGAACCATGGCTCTGGCTGTATCATGGCACAAAGCGTGCAGCCGTGAGTCCGAGCTGTGACGTGGGCTCGGCTCCGTGGGCTCCACAGAGCCTCGGTTTACCCTTGGCTGTTGGTGCAGAGCGGCACGGCTCACAGCCTGCCTGCTCTGGGCTGCAGCTCTCTGGCTGGCTTCTAGCCCAGGGCAGGCAGGCTGTGAGCCCCCCCCCCCCCCCCCCCCCGCTCCCCAAGCCTGTATTCCAGCTGTGACTTCTGCCCAACCTCCCAGACACTGCAGGTGCCTCTCACACACACAGCACCCCCCCCCCCCCCCGGGGGAGGTGGGCTGGATGGGCGTGCAGTGGTGAAGGAGCTGGGAGCTCTCCGCGCCGCACCACCCACAGCTCCTGGCAGCAACCTGCCTGTGGGTTTGCAAGTGTAAACTGAGGCAGAGACTCTCGGACTCTAACCCTGGAGCACCTTGGCTGCTGAGGGGAGGATGGTGGGGGGAGGGACCCCCAGGGAGAGCGGGAGGGAGGCCTCGCCCCGGGGCTGGCCCGGGTCCACCAGCCTGCTGCTGCTACTGTGTCCCCTCAGCAAGATCGGGATGGTGCAAACAGTGTGGGACAAGTGTGGACTCTCTTCTGGTGGCCTTGTTTACAGGGGACATTATTGCACACTGAAATATCACACTGTTTGCACAGTACACAGCTGAGATGAAAACATACAAAAGCAGGTAAAAGGATGGTGGCCTGGGGGGCCGAAGGGGCAGCGGCAGAGGGGCCTCCGCAGGCTGACCGTGAAAAGGAAAAAAGAAAAAGAAAGGAAGGAAGCTTTGCTGGGAGCCCGGCCTTTGGTTTCTCCTACATGGTCTGATTCTCTTGCCTCGGTCATCCCGTGTGTGGAAAGCTGGGGCGTGTCCCCTACATGGAAGGTCTCAGCCAGCCCCTGAGCTACTGCCTCACAGGGTCTGCTGCTCTTGGCTCTGGAGCTCCACGCCAAGCACGTGGGTTTTTACTGTAAAAGCTTGGTTCTGGGCTGCAGGCCTCTGAGCAGGAGTCGCCGCAGAGCCGGCTCTCCAACACTCTCAGTTCCACCTCTCGGAGTGTGGCTTCTCTGCTTTCTACGCCTGGATTCTCAGCTGAGAGTTACCTTACAACCTCTTCGCAGTTTCCTACGCAGGCAGCTCCATCATGCAGTCTGCAATAACCTGCCGTGGCTGCCCGCCCTGGGAGCCTCACCGGGGCCACGCCGCCTGGTGAGCTCAGTGGCACGTTTAGGCCACGCACCCACCTCGTGTGGCCTCCGTGACCGCCTGCTCCCCAGCCAGACCAGGCCGGAGCGGCGAGGTGCGACTGGGGCCGGTTGGGCGCAGCCGGGATCCTGACCCCACCGGCCCCGGGTCTGGCATGCAGGGACCAGCCCTTCCGGCACCTGACACACAACTAATATTTGTTCAGGGCCATGCAGTGTACAGAGCCTCGGCCCCTACACCCCACCGATGTTTTTAGTAACGACTTTAGTTTACTGATGAAGAAATACCCACAGGGCCAACCAAGGCCATGACAGCACTGGGGAAAGAGGAAGGGGGGAGGGGAGGGGGAACAGAGAGAGCAGGGGTCCCACAGCCTGCCTGCTGGTGGCTTCAGGGGGACCCTGGGTCCTCGGGGGACAGGCCGGCAGGGGAGCAGGCAGCCCTGAGAGCCACTGGAACCCCTCGACACGGACGTGGGGGCGGGGGTCGACGGAAGGCCTGGCCCCTCCCATCATGGGCATCTCAGCCTGCTCCTCCCGCAGCTCAAGCTGGAAATGCCACAATAACCAAGACCCTCGGGATGGGGTGACTTCCGGGAGCCTCTCGGCACAGGTGGCCCGCGCGGGCCACACCCAAAGGGAGAAGTGAAGGGAACGGCAGTGGGGAGCCACAGGGCGTGGAGTTTGAGCTCAGGACCTTGACCTCTGCAGGAGCTATCTCCACCTGGGCCGCGCCTCAGACCTTCCCCACAGGCTTCCCTGCTCTTGCCCAGGTCGACCTTAGACTGCGATCCTACCACCTATTCCCAGGTGGCTGGGATTACAAGCATGTGCCACATGCCTAGTCCTCTTTCTCCCTCTCGAAAAAGTATCAGCAGATAGCAATAATGGAAAACAAAGGCTCCATTACGGTATTTTCACCCGCGCATGTAATGAACTCCCAGGGTACCCTCCTCTTACTGCCGCGTCTAACCCCCTTCCCACCTCTCTGGCCCCCTTTCCTTCTAGAGTCCAGTGGTGCAACCCTTCCTGGAAGACCAAGACAAGCAGATTATGAAACTGCACTGAGCGGGCTGTGGACGGGAGCTGGAAGAGCTGTGGACGGGAGCTGGAAGGGCTGTGGACGGGAGCTGGAAGGGAATCTGGGCAGGGAGGACGCTGGACGGGTTGCTGGGGACCAGGAAGAGTAGTGTTTTTTTTTTTTTAATCTTATTTCCATGACTTTGGTATAATTAATAGTAGTTCTGAGAGAAGATGATGTTCTGTGCTGTGCTGTGTTCAGCACACATGCCCAGCACAGACCAAGACAGAGCCATCGCAGCCCGGTGAGCTGCGTGGACGGCTTTGTCGTCTGCGTGTGGACTTCCCTGGTGAGCTCCCCAGGCCTTTCTGAATACAGGCCGTGGCACATCATGAAAGCCCCCGCCCATTCTTGGTGGTGGCGTGCATGCGTGCGTGCGTGCGTGTGGAGACAGGGCCCTGCAAAGCGTTCGCTGTGTGTCCTTGGACAAGCTATCATGCATCTCTGAGCCTCCTTCTCCTCGTGTGTAATATGGGGGAAGTAGCCGTTGCTAGCTGCTGGGGACTGCTCACCACCCACTGCCTCTGGGCACTTGGGATCTGCTGACCTGCCTGTCAGTTTCCCGCAGGCCCGTGGGGTGGTGGCAGCGGCAGTGGACTGCGTGGGAAAGGCAGGTTCCCAGGCTTGCCCTCCACGCTGCCCTGAGTCTCCGGGGTGACTGCTCGGTGCACCAGAGCCCGGCAGCAGGGTAGGACTGGGAGCCCCCCAAGGCCTCACCAGAACCGACCTCCATCCTGTCTAGGGTCCCAGCAAGCCCCAGAGGAGTGCCCAGCACGGGCCGAGGCCCCCGGGGGCCCAGCCGTGTCCCCACCACGCACCTCTCCACCCAGGGGCCTCTTCCGGGGCCCGTGCTAGGGCCGACCCCGGAGCTGGCCGGGAGCACAGGCTTCCCTTGGCTCACGACACCAAGGGTCCTGCTGGCCACCGCGAGGGTCAGGAGGGCAGGGCCAGCGCCCCTCCCACGCTGGATGACACGGACGCCAGGCGGCCTGGCCTGTCCAGTCCGACGGGCTCCACACCCAGGCTTCCGGGCCCGTTCACAGGCTGTGACCCGCTCTGACCCAAGGCCACTGCCTTGCGGAGAAGCCCCAGCGGGGCTGTGCTCTCTGGGACCCGGGCCTGTTGCTCATTGGTCACCTTTTTGCTATAGCCTCCTGTGCTGCTTAAAAAAAAAACAAGTGTCCCTGTTTGCTGCCCTCCGTGGCTTCCATGGGGGGGGGGGGAAGGGCAGCCGCTCCCGGAGCTGTTCCCCACTTCCGGAGCAGCTGGACATCCCAGGAAGCAGCTCTGGGCTTCTGGAAGGAGGCAGGACAGCCCCGATCACCCCATCTCTCCCACAGGGCCTGCCTTTCCCACCGGTCACCCCCACTTCCCCACTGCGCCCCAGGCGCCCCCCCCCGCCCTGGACAAAGGTCTCCAGGTCCATCTCTAGCCTGGCACTGTTTGCAGGAGCAGAAGTAGCAGAGTGACA